CCCCACCCCTTCTTTAGGAACAAACTGTGACCCTCATCTGACCGACTTATTATTCTCATATGCGGAAGAATTTATTTACGAGCTTATCAAGATTGGTAACATAAAACCTTTTCACGTCCGTCAGTTTCACCTCCTGATAAATCGGCAAAGTGATATCTTTAAATAACAGGAAATCTTTTTGACCACGTCGGCATTATATAACTTCCTGGGTTTGCAATCAAAGAAAATACAGTCTCTTCTACTCAATCCACTTTCCTTGATCTTTACTTATAGCATGACCATCTGTAACGACTTACTTCTAAGCTATACATTTGATAAGCGGGACGATTGCGACCTTCCGACGGACACCCTCCCTTTTTTGATAGTAACATCCGCGCTTTTCAAACCAAGATTGTTTACATGTAACATTTGAGTCGGTATTCAACAGCTTGGTCCTTAAATCACGACTTCCGTGATGAATGCCGAGTGCCGACGGAGAGGGTTACAACACAGTGTTTCAAAAGAAGCACATTGATGAAAAGTATCCACAAGTGTTACGATCGCCATCGTGATCTTATAGGAAAATATGCTGGTTCGTTGTCACTCATCCTGTTTTCGTTATAACGACGTGACATTTCCTAGATTTGATATAGATTAACATGGCGGGTGCAGTCAATGAAGCAAAAGACTTATAATTTCGGATCACGTGGTCTTATTCTTGTATCGTTTCTTGAGTCTTTTCTTTGGTCCTCTTTTTAGATTATCGATTTTGAGTTCAAATTACTGTCTTGATGTCACTTAAGAAACATTATTATTATTATTTTTGCCAATTGCACCGCATATATAATCGTCAATTTATTTCAATAGTATCGATTTAATTGAAATTAACTTAATACTGGCTATAGTTATTCACCAACAGAAGTTGTGTATGCATTCGTTGTCTGAAGTACATTTGATTCGCCCTCTTAGTATTGTAGAATTTCCTTAGCTACAACATACTTTATTGATGTATTGATCACGGTTAGTACGGATAAAAAGACGACCCTGACGCAGTTTATCTGCTTTATAAATTACAGTTGAGTAAATCAAACGATGTGCCTCATGTAGCTCAGATAGGATCCCCCAACAACAGCACAATGGTGGGGAAATCCTTGAGAAAAAATGTACTCCTTAAAAGAAAACGCCGAGAAAATCCACGTGAGCTAGCTCGGAAATATTTCGTTGTCGATAATAAGTTTATATCAATAAGCGTTTAGTCAATGTGAGTTCAGAAGCCTGTTATCATTCGTCCAAGGCGCAATCAACTCATGTTACTCAGCGAAGTCATGTTTTGTTACCTGGTTACTATTGTTTGTTTATGACCCATATCATAAAGAATGTTTCAGATCGTAGACTTTAAATCATGTAGGTCTGGCGTAGACAACCGTTGAAAAAACCCGGAGCTACGGATTGTCAATAAGATTATCTCTATCGCTTCCTGCTTCGAAAAACGATTAACGCAATACACACCTGTTGTAGTTACACGTGTCATTACATAGGAAATAGACAACATCAGAAACTAAAGTGCTGAGGATTTACATTAACACTATCATAAATAGAAATAAATAACAACAGGAACTTATTAGAGCTGAAGATTTACCATAACACTGTCATTAAAAGAAATAAATAACGACAGGAACTTATTAGAGCTGAGGATTAACCATACCAAAGCCATTAAAATAAATAAACAACAACGGGAATTAAAGAGCTGAGGATTTACCATAACAAGGTCATTAATAGAAATAAATAACAACAGGAAATTATTAGAGCTGAAGATTACCATACCAAAGCCATTAAAATAAATAAACAACAACGGGAACTAAAGAGCTGAGGATTTACCATAACACTGTCATTAATAGAAATATTACATACAGATGTGCATTATGTGATATTAATTGTAACATACAGGTGTATAGTATGTAATATTAATTATGAAATACACTGTGTACACTATGCGATATTAATTGTAACATCCGTGTGTTTAGTATGTAATATGAATTATGAAATACATGTGTACACTGCGCGATATTAATTGTAACATACAACCTATAATATCAAACATAACGTACACTAAATATATAAATATGTAATATCAGTTGTAGCATAGGATACGTGGTACATGTTTCAATAAACCTTTACTTTGAATGTCGACAAGACTATTTTATATACATTGAGGGATTACTGCACCACAGCTAGTATTGGCTAGTATTGACGACATTTAAGACATGATTTATATATGAGATTGTTGTATCCCCCACAACATGCGCTGTCGTCAGGAACGAATGTATATAAGGACTTAATTTCAACATGTACGCTCCCTTTTATTGTGGTGCTCTAGATAAAAAAATCTCTTTTGGAAACCTTACGATCTTATCTTCTATAGATATGAATCAATAACAGGTTATAAATGTGTCCAGTATTGGTCACTTCCACGATATTCTGGTCACTCCATGTCACTAATCTGGTTGTTAGCATCTCCCCTGAATTAAAACCGGAAGTTGCACATGGCGAGAAACACACTTCGTTGCAATGGAGAAAAAACGTCTGTTGGAAGTGGTAAGCATGTATACAGGATCCAGACGCGTTAATATACTGTTGTTTGTGGTACTGTCCCTATGAGGATGTGATCATATATCATCTTTAACACACATCATGGGTTATAATTAGCATAGTACATCCACAAAAATGCAACCTCTGAAGCCAGAAGATGTTTCCACTTTAGATTGTCATCAGGTCCAGTACACTCTGCCGATTGAGCTATATAGCTATAAAGACCTATATAGCTATATACACCTATAAATTATAGCTGTATTGAGCTATATTTTCTCAGATTTCAAATTTAATTAAGTTAAAGCAAAGTCGCATAAAACAATAAGGTAATGTTAACTACAAAAAGCATACATTTAGATGTTTATTTTCATTTTTCATAAATGTAAAATTTCCGATTTCTTTACATTATTATTTTTAAAAAGAATACTTATATTTAATGTCTTTTGTTTTGAACCTAATGATACAATCTTCTTTTAAATGCGACTTTGTTCCGTTTTCCTTAAAAAAGAAAAACACTTGAAAATAGCTCAAAAGACCTATTTCAGATAGGTCAATAGAGCTATTATAGGTCTTTACAGCTATATAGCTCAATCGGCAGAGTGTACTGGACCTGGTCATATTGATTAAAAAGAAATTACGGATAGATATTTGTCGCGAAAAAAGACGTCACGCGTTATGACACTGTTTTTTTGGTGTTTTTTTTAAAGAGGCGCAACACCCTCTTCCATTATACCCGTATACTTATGATAGAAAAAAATGTGTATATCTATAATAATAACGTTATATATTGTGAAAATGATTTATTGCTTCTCAATTCATAGGTCTGTAATAAGGATTTTTGAAGAAAAAATGGTATCTGGGTATCCCCCAACTTATAAGAGAGATAGTTGACTTTCTGGGAGACACATAAAAGTTTGCATTTAATGAAAAAAATGGAACAGTTTTGCCATCTACAGTGAACTAAAAATGTCACTCAGAAACTGGTCCATATTTTGCTTTCCATGTACTTACTAGTTGTAGTACTCTCACATTTTATATTGACTTCCGAAACATAATGAAAAAGGCCATTTTGGTAAAAAGTAGAAGTTTCATCCTATAAAATCTGCCTTTAAATTAATATTTTTGACTGTCGATGCATTATTTTATATATTTTATTTTACTCAGTTATATGTTTTGATTTCCAGATAGAAACTGACAATGAGGATGAAACCTGCAGAACATTTGTATTACATGGTGAAGACCATACATTGGGTAACTCTCTCCGCTACATCATCATGAAAAAGTGAGTAGCACTTGTTCAGATACCGTATTTGACCACAAATAAGCCCCCTCCAAAATTGTCCTAGAAATACTGTGAGTGCTTGAAATTAACCCCCATCCCAAGTCAGATCAGATGTTTTCAGGATGATGGTTTTTCATTGGATGGTTGGCTTGTCAATCTCCATGAGTTGTCAGCCACCCATCTATCTTGTACAATACTTGTTAGCACAATTTCTCACAAAGTATTAGAGGGATTCTATTCGAAATACTATTGTACGGATATCACATATAGGCTTCCCTTCATTCCTAGCTAGTTGTGAATGAATGTTAAGACAGCAAACAGTTTAACATCTTGAATTTTAAGAGTGAAATATTCTTAGCCCTTTTTCTCAGAACTGATCTTTAAGTTTCTCAAAATTTACCTGTAGGTTTTCATTATGGTCCATAGTTTTGCATAGGACGACCAAACTGGCTGAAAGGTGGTCACCTTTTATTTTGTGAGATAGTACTTTCAGAAAGTACTGGAGAGATTTTTTCCCAAATTTTACATTATTATTTCCCAAGATCTGTAGTTGTGCTTTTTAATTTTTGTGACTGATTGGAAAACCATGACGACAAATAGGTCATGGCAATCTTGAATTAAGTTAAGTTTTCTATGGTCCATATATTGTTGCATATAGAATTTTGGGACAGATTGGAAAACAAAGATATCGAACAAGGAGCCATCTTGAATTTTGAAAGCTAAACATTTTTTATGCTTTAAAGTTTTTCTCAGAAAGCACTGGGAGACATCCTCAGTGAAACCTGAATTTAGTGGGAGACTGCATCATTTAAGGAGATATGACAGATACTTCCAGGGCAACACATCTTAAGACATTACAAAATTATCTTAAATAGCATGTTTGGAAAGGCAGGTCACATTATAACAAAATCCCTGTAACTACTAAGTGTATTAGTTAGGTATTATGTACCAGTGATTGATTCATTCTACCGATTAATGAGGTGAGATCAATTCGTAAACTTATCAGACGTTGTATTTTTTCTAGCCCTGAAGTCCAGTTCTGTGGTTACAGTATTCCTCACCCATCAGAAAACAAAATCAACTTCCGGATCCAGACAAACGGTACTTATATTGTGTAAACGGTGTAATCCAAGAAATGGTACTTGTGTGTGAACATTCCAGACAAATGATACTTTCAGTAAAGATATTTTATTTGGAAGAAAATCTATTTTATAGCACTCATCATTGTAATACATGTGTATAGTGTCAATAAAAAGGGCAGGGTGCCATGCATGTTGTGTAAATAAAGGCAGGGCGTGGCGCTCTGCTTTCCCTTTCTATCTGGAACACTGTAACATAATATTTTAAACCCACCTGAACAAAGCCTGTCCATATTACTGATTTAAAAAAAGGTATAGATAAAAGCTTGGCGAGCTATTCGGGCTATTCGGCCTTATGTTATATTTTACAAACATGTTTATAATTATACAGGTGCAATCGCTACAGATGTCCTGAAGAAAGGGCTGACTGATCTTTACCATGCTTGTGACCATGTACTGAAAACGTTTGAGGTAAGTTTTCAGTGTATATTGCTGTAGACTGGACATATCATCCATTTTGGTTGTTGTGAATATCTCAAGTTTGATCTAGTGGATCTAGTGAGTCAGATTGGTAAATGTTATAAGACATTTATCTAACTTTGAAATCAAATCCGTCACACCTAAATCAAATGTCCTTTTATGATTTTATTTGTCCCCCACCGGTTTGTGGGGAGGACTATAGGTTTGCACTCCGTCCTTCCGTCCGAAAGAAAAGTTTATCCGGGGCTTATCTTCTATACTATTTCACCTGGAGTTACCAGTTTTGGTGTTCAAGAAATCCTAGGATTGCGTAGTGCTAGAAATAAATCACAAAGCCTATGCTTGCTGACATAAGTGTACTGGTTGTTAAATATAGAAATCATTACCAATGGGGGACTATGGATCGCCTTGCGATTCTTTACCTTGTTGAAAATGGATCCTGTCCTAATCTTTTTCAAGGCCAAAAGAAATCACTATGTAATATTATGGCAATTTTCTCTACTTATACTTGTCAATAATGGAGCCTAGCTTGATCAATTTGTTGTGGTGCATTTCCCATGCCATACATGTTGGCTATAGAAAATTTCTTAAGCAAGGCAAAGTTTTCTACACTTCACTGAACATTTGAAATATATATTGATTTCTCAAACTAGACATGAAGACTAAGCAAAATGTTAAACCTAGATATGTTGGTTAGGTGGCCAGCACATCAACATACCCTGTCTCCTGCAAACACACGCAAGCACGCTGTCGCATACGCAACACACATGGAGGCACGTCCTTAAATGACCTTAGTTAGCTGTTAATAGGACGTTAAACAAAATTAAACCAAACCAAACCAAATGGTTAGGTGGCCAGTTGGATGTTCGTCTTTTAATTTGTAAATCTGATTTGATATTTTGTTGTCACTTAAACTTGGTGACTTAGGATATTTCTCCTTAGATCTAGACCTAGTCATGTCTTAAGACTTATAAGCACCCTTATGCTATTTATTGTGTAACATGCAAAATATTGGCAAGCAGATCATTCACAGATCTATAGTGGTATAGTGTAGTTTTACAGGGAGCCAGTCAGGGTTTTAGATGTATGTATTTGTCTTACTTCATGGGTAATAGTCAGGGTCCTGGTGGTATGAACATGAGTGATTTCAATATGCAGAGTCAGAAATATCAGTATAATTGTTGATCAATAAATTTTCATTGGGCTCACAGTTTCAGTAAATGTGAAATTTTTGTAGGCAGTCAAAATACACAAAAGTTGGGGTACAATCTGCTATGAGGGATGATTGCCAACGGTCTGTCTGTTATTGTCATCCCCTGTCCTGTTAGGTATACTCAAGCATTAAAAACATCTCATGTTAATGGGGGAGAGCATGTGCGTTTATTTCGGAAAACAGGTCACCAATTTTGTTCTCTTTTTCAGGTTGGCATCAATAACTACAAGAAACAAGGATTTCCCTCTGATGTTGAAATGGCATCTGTTGACACCTGACAGGTCTGTTGTTGGGTTCAGCACTACGACAGTGATGGTAACATCTTCATATAGGAAGGCCACTGCCATTGGATCTATGTTTATACTGAACTTGATGGCGAAGACATTCTCATGATGGTGAAGCTGTGATATGTTTACAAACAGCCAGCCTGTCTATGCTGTACCAGTGTGATACTGTGAGTTAGCCTGTCACAGTATCAAAACTACGACCAAACATCACAGAATGAATTCATAAACATTCGAAGCATACAGAGGCCAATATGATAGCACTGGAGAATATGTTAAAACTCAAACTGGTCTTCTGCATATTAATTTAAATACAAAGTGAAACCATTGACTGAAGAACTACAACAGACAAAGTTAGGAAATTAACTGAAGAACCAGTGTACTTGTGAGATGTCAGAAACTTGACTGTTGAAAGATTGGTACAGGGAAGATGAAGACGTGATTCTCTATATCAAAAGAATTTTCAATAATTTAAAGGACGTGCAAAGTAAATATGGCCAAATAACCCCTTTTTGGTCCACCCATAAGTTTTTCTGTACATGTGTTTTAAGATGCAAAGATGATATTTGTTAATTTTAACTGTTTACAAATTTTATAAATATACTTCACTTATTGTTGAATAAAACAAGATTTGTGTTGTATTCTGTGTTTAATTAGCTGCTGTTTTAAGGCAAACATATGATATTTAGATGGCATATTAATGTATTATAAACAAATAAATCATTTGTTTTATCAAATAAAATATCTATATCAATTTAAGCATTGTTGTATCCAAATAAATTATATCCATTTATTATATCAAAATTGTAATAACTAGAACTTTACTGGAAATGGAAGGGAGGTAACTCTAGTTTCCTTTACTGTGTGTGACCAATGATAAACCTATGCTGAGTATAACTTCATCCTTCTTAGCAAGTTCCTGGTTGATTTGATCATGGCCATTGTCCTGATTTCACAAAAAAACAAACAGAATAAAGGTCTCAAAATAGTTTACCACAATACATTTATATTCATTTTTATTGCTGTTCGCTTTTCTTTGAAAAGAAAGCTTTTGGAACAAAAGAACAAAAATACTCCTCCACGTGTATGAGGTATGAAGTGTAAAACTTCGTCTTTCGGAAAATTGAAAAATGGATGGGAAGGGTTTCCTTAGTTGTTAAACATGCCCAGATCTTTATGGCAGCAGGAAATGTTAGTGTTTGTAGCCAGATATCATGTTACAAGATTCTTTGTTGACACCATGATATCCTTATGCAGATCGGTGAGAGTGGTTTATAATCAGAGACTTGTTAAACCCACCCAAAAGTGAATGCAAAAAGCATTCTCTCGTTTTGCTAATGGCCGGGTGTAGCATTCCACAGAATCCATCAGTATCTTAAAATGCATATTCCGATTGGTATCCATGGATACTTTTGGCATTTTAGGGAAAGCACTTGTTCCTTTGCAGAGTGGATACAATTTAACTCGGCTCTTACTGAACATACTTCATACCATGATTATAATGTATACCAAGTGTCAAAGAGATCCGTTGAAAAATGTAGGAGGAGATTGCCGGACAAAAATCAAATACTGAAATAAACAAAGGGCAATAACTTTTGCAAAAAACGTCGAATCAAAATTCTTTTCAAGGAAACACAACAACACATCATGATCATAATGTATACTAAGTTTCAAAGAGATCCGGACGGACGGAAAAAAAACCATACCACAATACTCCCGTCAAATTTGACAGGCGCATAAAAATGAAAACTAATTTTAATCAATAGTCATGTTCTTGGTTGGCATGTGTCAGATAGCAACAGGTGTCAGAAAACACTTATTTACAAACAATAAAAATACCATCAAGATTTGTGCATGTTTTATTCTCATTTGAGAAACTTAACATACAATGAAATACGAAATTCAAAAGTGTAGACTTTTAGTCTAAAGATGATGATGTTGACTTTCAGCCCAACAGTGAGTCAATGATAGTGACGTTACAACAAGTTAGGGGCAACAGTCACTAGGTGAACTGTGATTTAGATAGACACAACATTCAGGTTATTGTATAGGTGTCACAGTGTCATATTTAAATGTTACTGTAGGATGGTGGGCACAGCCAGCAAACACAGAACTTCCCTTTGTAGTTTGACAGTTGGAGTTCTGTCAAAAAACACGAAACATTATCCACACACACTGCTGCATTGGTCCCAAAACACAAACCAGACAATAAAACCGTGAGACAAACGTGGGTTTGATTATTTCTGTCGGTCTAGATTAAGATGGGTTCCCGCTGATTTATGACATTTTTAAGCATTAATGACTTCCATTTCGTGTTGTAATGCATTCAAAATTGATATATATTTATATAGTTTACATTCACTGCAATTTGATATGATTAAAAATATCACCCCGACACTTTTTCGTGTGTTGTAGGTTGGGCCAATTTTCACATTTAAGGGTTCCCAAGTTTTACCTTGCCTTTATGTGCGTAATCAATATGTGCGTACGTAACATACATTTTACCTTTTAGTTAATCAAATGAGCCCGCAAACAACTTAAAAGGCGATAGTTGCTTGTAACATGAGCGAAAAAATAAATCTGAAGTAGTTTTTGTTTTTCTTTCCGTTTTCTATGCGAAATATCTTGACCATTTTCTTTTATTGGTGATATAAACTGAGAAAACAGTGAAATATTACCGCAAAATCTGCGAGAATTTATCTTCTACCTAGAATTTAGTTAATCCAAACTTAAAGGCAAACTTAACCTGGAATCTCCGTAAACCGGCCTTAGCAAATGAACCACTACATAGTATGACGTCATAATAACCCGGATACCTGGGACTCGAGCACTAACAATAATGTCAAGCTGTTCAAAACCTATCCCTTCAAATAATAAGATACATTCAACTGTTTCATCATTATCAATATTTACCATACAACGACTTATTCGGGTCCTCGATACAGAATTTACGGCGCCTTTCCTTTATTCACGCTGCTTTATCATAAATGCCCATGAACCCTTTGCAAAGAAACTGTTTGAAAGGGTCTAAATGAGATGGTCTCGCTTGCTTGAATGGAGACGTGTTTTATCGTTTCACGCGCCTAGTTGGTCTCGCTTGCTTGTATGGAGACGTGTATTATCGTTTCACGCGCCTAGTTTGTCTCGCTTGCTTGTATGGAGACGTGTTTTATCGTTTCACGCGCCTAGTTGGTCTCGCTTGCTTGTATAGAGACGTATTTTACCGTTTCACGCGCCTAGTACACTGACAAGTTTTGCATGAGGAACGACACACATAAAAATGCTTTTCAATAACAATACATGGAATCTCCCACAGCATACAGCACAACTTACAAATCCAAGGAGTTACAACATTATTTCGGTAACACTTTATCGTATATATGTGACCTAATAAAAGGGTTGCGTACGCAATTACCGTAATCCGTCGTCGATCACAACTCTCATCGTATGAGCTATGCATATCAGCACATGACAGAAATGAAAGACTTTCCTACGGTCGATTACATATACTAAAACAAGAGACTGGGTTGTAAACATTCTGATATGACCACCTGTAACTATCCATCACATGAGCTCCATTTCGTAGACGGCTTGATGTTGTACGGTGTCTGTCGTCATGGGTCGCTGATTACGTCGCGGTGTTCGGATTCCAAGGTACTTTCTCGTCGAATCGTATCTGCTTGGCCTCTTAGAACGGTCCATTGTCGTATTCGGTCGCTTCTTCTTTTGCGTTACATCCGATTGCTCCTGTGTATTTCCACCCTCATCTTCCTCCTCGCCATCACCATCCAATTCACAGTCAGTGAGTTCAATGTCGCCCTCAGCTCCGTTTTGTTGCAAATCGTCCTCGGTATTGTCTATGAGATACGTCCTATCCGTCTTTCCGACTGGGATTATGTTACTTGTCCTACCGTCGAACTCGTCTTCTTCCGGTAACAAGTAGGGCTTGGGGTTGGCCTGTACCTGGTCCGTCGTCGCACCTTTTAATTGATCGGGATAATGACGTTCAGTGAATAATCGTTCTTGGTCGATATTTCTCAGAATTGTAGAATTAGCATCCTGTAAATATTTCGTAAATTCCTCTTCACTATCATCTCCAGATGACTCGGAGACTTTTGTCAGTTGCTTTGACCTTTTCCGACGCCTTGAACGTACTTCCTGTGTGTAGGTGTCGACTTCCGCCGTCTGGGACAGACTGGTGATGTTATCACCTGCATTGTATCCCTCAGCATTGTCATCAGACGAATCATTGTCTTGATTTGCATATCCTTTCCTACTAACTGGCCTTCCTTCGGTTGTGCCATTATCCGACTGGAAATCTCCATTCGACAAAGTCGTTTTACGTCTATTCACGCTATTAGTCCGTTTTTTCGTCTTCTTTTTTACTTTCTTTGTCCTAGGTGTTTTTGATGTTTCCTCTTCTTCTTCCTCTTTGCATCTTGAATAACCTTTCAAAAGCAACGTTTCCATTCCGTTTTCGTACACATTGTTATTTCGAGGCTCGTTTGTAGTTTCTAACGTTGCAGCACGTATCCTTTCGTTCATTACGTCTTTGTCCTGGTCCCAGCTCATTCGCTGTTTATTCTCTGTATTCTTTATACCCTTTGATGTTGTCTGAATTTGCATTTTATCAACTTCCCCCCTCTCATCTTCATCCATTATTTCATTTTCGTCGTCGTATACTTTCAGCTGTGCGTTTTCTTTCAATTGCACCTTTGAAACAGATGTCTTATTTAAAAACGCACCCTGATGAACTTGGACGTTAGTGTGAAGGAGTCCAGCCTTGTCAGTGGCTATACTTGGTGTAGTCTTTGCCTTTACATCGTCCGTCAGATTGTCGGCGACTTCATCAGAACTGCCCACAGAGCCTGCACACACCTCGTTCTCAATTCCCTCGTTTTTCAGTTTACTTTTCGCTATGTGAGCGAGTAGGTTATGTAGGGTTGTCGTTTCGTGCTCGTCAATAGATTCCTCCATGGGTTTGTTATCCTTTTTATCGTACTTCTTGATACAGATGTACTTGTGTCCGTCCAGTTCCATTCCACGTCGAGGGTCTAGAGATGCCACACCCGCCTCTGAAGGCTTCGTCCGGAACACTCCGGTACGTGTGTTTTCTGTATACGAAGAACACAGAAAAGTACCAGTATGAATATGGAGATTTTAAGATATCGTTAGGATTAGTTCGTACATAGTCTGAAACAATGGGAAGTATACGAGCTGTAACACTTTCGACAATTATGCGGTATTCGAAATAGAGATTGGTGTCCTTATTTTATTTTATTTTATTTTTTTATTTTTTATTTTTTAGACTGAAACCCTTACACAAGATTTATTTTGTTTTAGAACCATGTCATTATTGATCGTTTCTCATGCGAGTAAATCCTATAAGTATATTCGAGAAAAGTAATAACGTCCAATTTTGACAGTGCGAAATGCAAAACTCTTACGAGATCTTTCATCAATTAATATCAAATGTAGAAGATTATATTTACCTGCGAAGAGTTTCTCGCGTTGACTTGCTGTTCCTCCCATAGAGCCATGAAGTCTGAGTTCCTCCATAGTCAGATCTAGAAAGTAGTCCATGTACTGGAAGTGTCGATGTGCCTGTGCCATAGATACAGAACCATAATGCTGTGTTACAACACAGATACAGTGTCATGTGTTTCGTTGTAGATATATATACATAATGAGTTCTATAGTTATAGGTCTTGAACTCGAAATTCTATTGATGGAAATACGGTCTTCGAGAATTATCGAAAATATCAGGTTCACAATTTTTTTTATTTATGACTTCGTCAGATTTTTTTCTAAAATATGGAACTATGGGTCATCCCATTTCAATATCTAGGTTTCAAACCAATATCTTACAAAAATTAGTTGTTAGTGTGAAACTAACTATAATTGGTTTGTCTTCATATATCAACACTTTTCTTTGTTATTCTAAAAGCTAGGGAAACAAGATCATCCCGTTTTCCAGTACCGTACCTGTAGAATACCTGTCTGTATGGCCCACACTGGCAAGCAGACGACACAGCAGACCACGTTCTCAGCAGACAGGAAGTGGTCTCGCTCCTCACCGTTCGTAATGATGAGTTTGGCGCCAACAGCCTTACATTTGGCACCAGTGACCCGTGTACACCAGTTCTGCACACATCCGTTGAGATTCACCTATGGAGGTAAAAGTTTATTTTTATTGACAGATGATGTCAGCATTACAAGATTCCCTGAGATAAGTAGGGATCAATCATAAAGACATGGGTCACATTTGGACAGGACAAGAACATGTTCTATAATAACTTCTAACAACCAATCGTCTGACGCAGAATTGTAACGGGTATTAGATACTTTGTATACGTGTTCATGCTATCGTTCATCCAGCGTCGTTAGTAATAGACCGGAAGTTTATTTACTTCCGCCCGCTACTGTAGGGTATTTTCGTTAACGTTATGTAATCTTGTTTCTTATTGGTTAATATATCAGGTATTGTTGGCGGTATAAATAGCCGAGTGCACGTGTGGTTCGGTAGTCAGACGGATGCGTTGAGTCTCAGGTCACCTCACCTCTCTGGCTTTTCTCTCTTTTCTTTTTCTTAATGTAGGTGTTAGGTCGTAGGTACTTTTCTAGTGTAGCTTAGATATTTATGGAATCGGCAGGGGTACGTGGTTATCAACGTTACATTTATTTAACACGTACCGAAGCCATGAGTAGCTAGCGTGAGGACGAGGTAGTGTAATTGTTAGGTGCTGTGTTGTATATTACTCTATAATTACATGTGACTCGTCTGAATATCCACGGGGTATAATAAATGTACTTGTAAGTGTGTATTTGCCTTTCTTACTTATTCCTTAGTATACGGAACCCTAAGTAGAGAACATGGGTATAAAATCTCGCCTGTTACAGAATAACGGAGGGAGAACCTTGGTAGAAATCTCGCCTGTTACAGAATAACGAAGGGAGATAACTGACGGATAACAAAACGTATACAGTTAAAGTGAGAAACCTACCTCTATACAGAATTTCTTGCCGTGGTCCATAGCGCTGACAGACCTGACGAACGCGTGGTACAGCTGGTCCCGAATGTTACCCTTCTTTGGGTCAAATACTATCAGACATGGCGCTGTAACAAGAAGTATTATGAGGAATAATTTCAGAAATGGTAATGAAACGAAGAAAGTGTCTTATACAACTTGGCACTGTCACGAGGATGGAGTCGAGAGAATACTATTGGACATGTCGTTGTATGGAGGAAAGTTGGGTGATCATCTTATTAATCTGGTATTCAACCTAGACAGGCTGAACAAAACGTCAATCGCGATTTAAGAACATGTGCGTCAGTCAATACAATCAATAGTCCTAAACAAATTTTGAAGTCAGAACGTCCTCCATAGAATTTCTGGGGGAAAAAAACGTGTATGGAAACTGTGTGGACATGCTCCGGTCTACAAGAAAACATTAAATGTATTTAGTACCAAATCTGGTGAGCGAAGTTTTCAAAAACATCCTATGGAGAACGTTCTGACTGTTTTTGTCCCATCAAAACTGTTAAAAGGAGACATGTATTTCAGACTATATACTCAATAAAATGGACGTGTGGCCTATAGAACAAATATTGTGACGATGTGACCTTGACACTAAAATGTAAAAGGTTTGTCCGATTTTCTGGATTATCTGATTGTCAATCACTTATATTGTTTACAGAAACAATTAATTGGCATATATGTTAAAGACTGGTCCAAATTAAAGTATATAGGTTTTCTCACAAGAACTTGAATCCTGCCAGACCCTAGCATAATCACCAAGTCGAAATGGCCCAGATATAAATCAATTCAATGAAATTTTGGCACAGGTCAACAATTTCGTCTAAAATGGTGATTAAACTCTTTTACATTGAATTTTAATCTGTGCGGTTGATTGATCTTGGTAAATTCTTGAGAATTATAATCTGATTATAAAACTTTTAAGATCACACAAAATCCTTTCTTTCCTCTTGTCAGCGTTTCCGGTCACCAAAGCTACATTTGATACTGAAATTTATTTATGTATGTGTGTCACTTGATGTCAGCACAGTTCAGGCGCTAACCCCTTTTCTGACCCCTAACCTATAGTAGTAGAGCTTATCCTAGCTTCCGAGCTCAATGGTGCTTATACACAGTACCCAAGCCTACTAGAGCTTACCAAGTATCTGAGCCTACTGGTGCTTATTACAGAATCTGAGCCCATCGGAGCTTATCACAGTATCAGAGCCCATTGGAGCATCACAGTATCAGAGATCAATGGAGCTGATCTCAGTATCAGAGCCCACTGGAGCTTATCTCAGTATTTGAACCAAAAAAGATTATCACAGTGTCCAAACCCAATGGAGATTATCTCATTATACGAGCTAAATGGAGCTTATCACAGTATCAGAGCCTACTGGACCTTATCACGGTATCCGAACTAACTGGAGCTTATCTCAGTATTTAAGTTTAAAGAAGATTACCACAGTATCCAAGCCCAATGGAGCTTATCTCATTATATGAGCCAAATGGAGCTTATCACAGTATCCGATCCCACTGGAGCTTATCTCAGTATTTGAGCCTAATGAAGATTACCACAGTATCCGAGCCTATTGGATCATCACAGTATCCCAGCCCATAGGAGTATCACAGTATCCGAGCCTACTGAAGCTTATCACAGTATCCGAGCCTACTGGAGCTTATTACGTTATCCGAGCCTACTGGAGCTTATCACAGTATCCGAACCCACTGGACCTTATCACTGTATTTGAGCCTACTGGAGCTTATTACATTATCCGAGCCCATTGGATCATCACAGTATCAGAGCTCAATGGAGCTTATCATGGTATCCGAACTAACTTGAGCTTATCTTAGTATCAAAGCCCACTGGAGCTTATCTCAGTATTTGAGCCTAAGGAAGATTACCACTGTATCCAAGCCCAACGGAGCTTATCTAATACTACGAGCCCAATGGAGCTTATCACAGTATCCGAGCCTACTGGACCTTATCATAGTATCCGAGCCTACTGGACCTTATCACAGTATTTGAGCGTACTGGAGCATATTACATTATGCGAGCCAATTGGATCATCACAGTATCAGAGCTCAATGGAGCTTATCAAAGTATCCAAGCTTACTGGAGCTTATCACAGTATCCGATCCTACTGGAGCTTATCCCAGTATTTGAGCCTAAGGAAGATTACCACAGTATCCAAGCCCAATGGAGCTTATCTAATAATACGAGCCCAATGGAGCTTATCACAGTATCCGAGCATTCTGGACCTTATCATAGTATCAGAGCCCAATGGAGCTTATCACAGTATCCGAACCTACTGGAGCTTATCACAGTATCCGAGGCTACTGGAGTTCATCACAGTATTCGAGCCTACTGGAGCTCATCACAGTATCCGAGCCTACTGGAGCTCATCATAGTATCCGAGCCTACTGGAGCTTATCACAGTATCCGAGCCTACTGGAGCTTATCACAGTATCCGATTCTACTGGAGCTTATCACAGTATCCGAGCCAACTGGACCTTATCATAGTATCCGAGCCTACTGGACCTTATCACAGTATCTGAGCGTAGTGGAGCCTATTACATTATGCGAGCCCATTAGATCATCACAGTATCAGAGCTCAATGGAGCTTATCAAAGTATCCAAGCTTACTGGAGCTTATCACAGTATCCGATCTACGACAATTCATTATTGTATCTTATGGACTACGACAATTCATTATTGTATCTTATTGTCTACGACAATTCATTATTGTATCTTATGGACTACGACAATTCATTATTGTATCTTATGGATTACGACAATTCATTATTGTATCTAATGGTACTTCCTGCCTAAAGTTTCAGTTCACAAAATGTAGTGGTGTCATTTTCGCCTTTTCATCATAAGATTACTTCCCGTATCCCGGTGTTAATTTTTAAGCAGTATTTGGCATGGATTCAACAAATATTGTTCACAGGTAACTTCAGTGCCAGTCTAGTTGATATCTACTAACCAAGCGGCGATAAATTTTACTTTGAGGTATCGAAGCTTTTGAAAACGATGTTAATGGGATATTCGTAGACGCAGGGATTGCTGCCTTTATATGCACATCAATGTAATTTAAAATACATTTGAATGAATGTTTGAACTGCAAAAATTATATAAGATATAAATCAAATTTGTGGTATAAAGCCGAGGACTTACCTCTCTGACTTTTACCAAAAGTTCCCTCCTTTTTAACGAGTGTGACACCAAACACTGATACTCTATCAGTTAGCCATAGTCGAACCCTCTCCAGCTCTACCACATTCTCGACAGTCAGCACCCTACAAAGGTAAGCGTTCTAGTGTGAAATAACCTCTACAGTAACGGTCTGCACGCTACAAAGGTAAGCATTCCAAAGTGAAACATTTCTAACAATAACGGTTAGCACGCTACAAAGGTAGGCGTCCAAGAGTGTAAACATTTCTTGTTATGACGGCCAGCACCATACAAAGTAAGCGTCCCATCGTGAAATCATTTCCTGCAGTAACAGTCAGCACTTTTCAAAGGTAAACGTCCGAAAGTGAAATCCTTTCCTATATAGTAACGGTCAGCACCCTACAAAGTAAGCGTTCAAGAGTGAAACATTTCTAACAATAACGGTTAGCACGCTACAAAGATAAGCTCCAAGAGTTTAAACATTTCTTGTTATGACGGCCAGCAACATACAAAGGTAAGCGTCCCATCGTGAAATCATTTCCTGCAGTAACGGTCAGCACCCTACAAAGTAAGCGTTCCAGAATGAAACATTTCTAACAATAACGGTTAGCACGCTACAAAGATAGGAGTCCAAGAGTATAAACATTTCTTGTTATGACGGTCAGCACCCCACCAAGTAAGCGTTCCAGAGTGAAACATTTCTAACAGTTAGCACGCTACAAAGATAGGCGTCCAAGAGTGTAACCATTTCTTGTTATGACGGTCAGCACCCCACAAAGTAAGCGTTCCAGAGTGAAACATTTCTAACGGTTAGCACGCTACAAAGATAGGCGTCCAAGAGTATAAACATTTCTTGTTATGACGGTCAGCACCCCACCAAGTAAGCGTTCCAGAGTGAAACATTTCTAACAGTTAGCACGCTACAAAGATAGGCGTCCAAGAGTGGTAAGCGTTCTAGTGTGAAATAACCTCTACAGTAACGGTCTGCACGCTACAAAGGTAAGCATTCCAAAGTGAAACATTTCTAACAATAACGGTTAGCACGCTTCAAAGATAGGCGTCCAAGAGTGTAAACATTTCTTGTTATGTTGGCCAGCAACCTACAAATTAAGCGTTCCAGAGTGAAACATTTCTAACAATAACGATTAGCATGCTGCAAAGATAGGCGTCCAAGAGTGTTAACATTTCTTGTTATGACGGTCAGCACCCCCCAAAGTAAGCGTTCCAGAGTAAAACATTTCTAACAATAACGGTTAGCACGCTACACAGATAGGAGTCCAAGAGTGTAAACATTTCTTGTTATGACGGTCAGCACCCCACCAAGTAAGCGTTCCAGAGTGAAACATTTCTAACAATAACGGTTAGCACACTACAAAGATAGGAGTCCAAGAGTGTAAACATTTCTTGTTATGACGGTCAGCACCCCACCAAGTAAGCGTTCCAGAGTGAAACATTTCTAACAGTTAGCACGCTACAAAGATAGGCGTCCAAGAGTATAAACATTTCTTGTTATGTTGGCCAGCAACCTCCAAAGTAAGCGTTCCAGAGTGAAACATTTCTAACAATAACGATTAGCAGGCTGCAAAGATAGGCGTCCAAGAGTGTTAACATTTCTTGTTATGACGGTCAGCACCCCCCAAAGTAAGCGTTCCAGAGTAAAACATTTCTAAAAATAACGGTTAGCACGCTACAAAGATAGGAGTCCAAGAGTATAAACATTTCTTGTTATGACGGTCAGCACCCCACCAAGTAAGCGTTCCAGAGTGAAACATTTCTAACAATAACGGTTAGCACACTACAAAGATAGGAGTCCAAGAGTGTAAACATTTCTTGTTATGACGGTCAGCACCATACAAAGTAAGCGTTCCAGAGTGAAACATTTCTGACAATAACGGTTAGCACGCTACAAAGATAGGCGTCCAAGAGTGGTAAGCGTTCTAGTGTGAAATAACCTCTACAGTAACGGTCTGCACGCTACAAAGGTAAGCATTCCAAAGTGAAACATTTCTAACAATAACGGTTAGCACGCTTCAAAGATAGGCGTCCAAGAGTGTAAACATTTCTTGTTATGATGGTCAGCACCATACAAAGTAAGCGTTCCAGAGTGAAACATTTCTAACAATAACGATTAGCACGCTGCAAAGATAGGCGTCCAAGAGTGTTAACATTTCTTGTTATGACGGTCAGCACCCCACAAAGTAAGCGTTCCTGAGTAAAACATTTCTAACAATAACGGTTAGCACGCTACAAAGATAGGAGTCCAAGAGTATAAACATTTCTTGTTATGACGGTCAGCACCCCACAAAGTCAGCGTTCCAGAGTAAAACATTTCTAACAATAACGGTTAGCACGCTACAAAGATAGGAGTCCAAGAGTATAAACATTTCTTGTTATGACGGTCAGCACCCCACAAAGTCAGCGTTCCAGAGTAAAACATTTCTAACAATAACGGTTAGCACGCTACAAAGATAGGCGTCCAAGAGTGTAAACATTTCTTGTTATGTTGGCCAGCAACCTAAGAAGGTAAGCGTTCTAAAGTAAAGTCATTTCCTGTTACGACAGTCAGCACAAACAAAGGTAAGCTTTCTATAATGAAATTATTTGTTTGGTTTGGTTTAGTATTGTTTAACGTCCTATCAACAACTATGGTCATTTAAGGACGATCTCCCCTGTGTGCAAGTTGCATGCGTGTAGTGTATGCGTGTGTGTTTTGGGAGGCTGCGATATGTTCGTGTTTGTCTCCTTGTGATAGCGCGGAACAGATGCCGACTTTATAGTGCTACCTCACTGAAACATACTGCCGAAGACACACAGCAGGACATCCCACCCGGTCACATTATACTGACAACGGGCGAACCAGTCGCCCAACTCTTAAGTTGCTGAGCGTTAAGCAGGAGTAGAAACTACCATTTTTACAGACTCTGGTATGTCTCGGCCAGGGGACAGAACCCAAAGCCTTCCTCACTGGGGCGAACGCTCAACCAAAGGCCAAACGTGAGGTATTGTCAAGGGGGACATTAGGAATAAAAATGTTGTTTAGAAAGAAGAGAAAGTATGAGTTCCCAAAATTAGTCGCCTCTTACGATCATGAAATGGGGGAAGCAGATACAATTCTTACGCCTTACCTGCAGGGACACTCTACAAAGGTAAGCGTTCTAGAGTGAAATCATTTCCTGTAACGACAGTCAGTACTCTACAGAGGTAAGTGTTCTAGAGTGAAATCATTTCCTGTAACGACGGTCTGTACTCTACAAAGATAAGCGTTCTAGAGTGAAATCGTTTCCTGTAACGACGGTCAGCACCTACAAAGGTAAGCGTTTTAGAGTGAAATCATATCCTGTAACGACGGTCAGCACCTACAAAGGTAAGCGTTTTAGAGTGAAATCATTTCCTGTAACGACGGTCAGCACCTACAAAGGTAAGCGTTCTAGAGTGAAATCATTTCTTGTTATGACGGTCAGTACTCTCCAAAGGTACGCGTTCTAGAGTGAAAACATTACAGTAATGGTCAGCACCCTATAAAGGTTGTAAACGTTTTGTAGAAAAATCGCTCTCTGTTATGAAGGTCAGACCCATACAAAGGCTAGCGTTCTAGAGTAAAGAATTAAATGGTAACCAGCATAGTGTGTAATCAATACCTATTGTATAAAAACTGTAAGGACCATTCGATAGTAAAAATGTTGAGTGAATATTTATTCAAACAGATTCTACAATGATGGCAGACTCGTAATAATGGTAATACTGTCTCTGTTAAGACCGATTCCTTACAAATTCAAACACAACGCTTTTATAGACAGTCAACACTTTACAATCTTAAAAATACTGTCTTTATCAGTGGCTAACAACTTACGAATGTGTATAACTAAATACTGTTAACTCAATACTCTAACAGAACTACAAAGCAATAATTCTGTTCAGGACTTTAATGCAGTATTTATTGAAAGCTTTACAACTTAGAACAATAATTAAAGTCGTGATTCTGTATAGGATTTAGTACTGTTTTTGAGGATTTTTTCGAACTATAAACACGAAATACAAGCTCATGAAACATATGCATTGGATATATCTTACCATGATTTGCCGTTTTCCGATACATCCCCAAAAGTTGGCGTCATCATCCGAGTTGCGTGAAAGAAGACATTGACCTCCTCGGGGTCATAGGTTATAACCCCGTCTCTTTCCAGGATGAACAAGTCGTTAAGGACCCGGGGCTCATAGATGAAATCCTCCCACGGGAGGATGGTCAGTCCACTGTCTACATTACTCTCCTTCATAAACCTCGGCTGCTTCGAGTCTTTCGTTTTACACTTGGTCGGTTGTTTAGTGACCACAGACGTGTTTCGCATGGTGGTGTTCGGAGAAGTTGAGACTGCCATTGTTCTGGGCACCCCTAGGTACGTATCTGTAACGAGGCGAGTCCCAGGGAGGGATCCAGCTTTTTCCGGGAAATGGCGGGAAGAACCGACTGGTCTGGCATTCGACATATTTAATCTCGTTCATTCAAAATAAAATGTGCGTGAATTTGTTGAAATTATTACGTGTCATTTCCAACCGAGAAGCGTGGTTCCTCTTTCCATATTTTTGCAATAAAAAATGTCCCGATGTAGCCCATCATCAATAGAATATTTCGGTCTTGTAGAATCCACAAGAAACTAGCAATAATACATCGCGATCTGAGCACACCGTGTCCTAATCGTACGGCCAAGGTCCATGGCCCGGTCAATTGTAGAGAATTAAAATGGCTAATACAGAGGATTACAGACCTAGTAAACAATTAATCTACCCGACAAGTCGCTAACTGTGTTTCACGCCTGCCAAAACCTATGTACAGGAATAACCAGGTCTAGAAATCCTCGAACTTCCAGCTGTGACCTTACCAGACAGAATCGAAGAGTATACACTGCATATCTACGGTATACTTATAATTGGTGAACTAATCATCGCAATGTTGACTTTTCCCTACATAAGGGGTTATAGAGACAATGTTAGTCAAACTCTGACACTACTTTCTGTGTTCAGCGCGGTTTTAAAAGTTTCTTTCTGTTTTAATTCCTTTAGCCAACACTACAGTTCCGTAAATAAACTTTCAGTCAAAAATACCAGCAGATAATAAACACACGATATTGATACACACAGTGGGAATGTGTTCGTTTGTGTACGGTTTCTCCTTCGATATATACATTATTGTGTCAGTACGTAATGATTTGTCAGACGTGTGTATGTGTGGAGGAGGTGTAATTACAACACTGTTGAAGACCTTGGTCTAGTCCGACCTTGTCCTGGTACAGGCTTTCACGCTGGTATGGTTAAAAGAGGGTTTAACAGGAGTAGATTTTTGTACATTTTTACATGGCTAAGTACCAAATGATCAGTTAGTATTTTCTTGTCTTTTAAAACCTTTATCATGTAGCAAAACTAATGATTTGAAAAGTCATGAGACAGTTGGATCGCTATGTAACCTCGCAGTAATCCATTGGCCTTAGTGCGATTATCGTGCTGCATAACTGTCGGCTTAACAGGTAAGTATACTGTTATATAGAGATATCCGATGCATACATGGCAAAAGGTCAAGACAGAGAAATATCTAGAAGGCCACCGTTTTATATCGATTGATATTTTCACTTTAAAATAACCCTAATTGACTTACATATCGCCGGTTTGCCGTAAAACAATACAAAGTTTTAAACAACACCAGAAAAAAATCCGCCACACTCGGTTCGACGTTTAAGCTTAAGTACCACAACATCAGAAGCACTGATTTTTAACCTCTTTCTGCTCGAAAATAAACATAGCTTTACTTTCACTTTTATCATGGTTTGAACGAGCCAGTTTCTGATTTGAATATTATTGATTTTAGACCACATGTACGCGATGATAAATAAACCCCAAACTACTGTATCAAGTGGGAAAACAGTTAGTACTAAAGTATTGCAGTGTATTTAAAGATTCCTGACCTCCTCCCCGACTCCTCCCCTCGGGACGGATTCGAGGAGGGGTCTGCACTGAGAGTTTCTCGGGATCCGTACTCCCTCCCCCACTCCGATTTTAATCGCCGATATTCAATGTCTTAAACATCAATATTTCTGTGTTGCTATCTCATATAAAAAAAAATCAGTAACCCAACATCAATACTGTTCTTCGCCTCGTTCCGCTCTCCTATGTTTCCTCATCCTTATATCAATACGCTTTTTATCATTAAATAATTACATTGTTATACATTACCATGAAAGGGTAGGGTACCATACTCAAAGTTCCGCTACATTTTGTTTGAAAATCCGCTAAATATGTTGCAGAATACAGAAAAATATCGCTAAGTTTGATATTATTTCTGTTTTAAATCAAACTGGAATTAATATGTTTTCATTATGTTTTAGTCAAAATTTGAAGAAAATGTAATACAATATTGAAATAACATAAAATTGAATTGAATAGCAAAGCTAAATTGCACTGTAGATGTCCTAGGCAAGGCCCCCGACCCGCTAAAGGAGAGTACACACATGCATGACTTCAGAAAGTGTTGACCACACCCCACTCCTAACTCCAATTCCTAAATCAGTGACTGCGTTAGGCACCGTTGGAATCGGTTATGATGTCTGGTTCATTTTGGAACCCGGCTGTTCCGTAATCCCTGGATAACATTACGTCAGTTAGAACGGGTTATGTCCCTTGTGTTGAGTAGAGATTTATTATCCGTTCAAAGGGAGACAACACAACGTTGAAAGTTTTCCTAATTCAATATCTCTGTCATATAATCTTTTTTGTTGTTGTGTGTTTAACAAACCCCACATTGAAATAAGTATAGTACACAGAGACGTGTTACCTGTGATAATATCTACCCCAGACCTAAATCGATATTACAGGTATAATGGAGACTCCCAGTATGTACTCTGGTACAAGTCGAAACATGTAGGATTTACTGTACATTGTGTATGTGTAAACGACCTCTCTGCCGATCTCCATTTTAACCGTCTGGACTTATGTTTATATCGACAGATTCAGCATATTTCTGACAAATTCTGATATCACATGCAATTAGCGTTTCAGGTATGTATTTGCAGGTGCATTGCACATGTGTATTTCACAGGTGTGGTTTCACCTATATGAAGCTGGGGTCTAATCACGTGAGGCCGACTGTTTCTCGTCTTATTTATGTATGCTATACAGCCATTGAAGAACTCTATATACACATGTTCGAGGCTACGATCTAGTTATTGATACTTGTTCACCTGTACATATACGGACATTGTCATAGTTAAGTTTTCATTGTTTATCAACGCGTGTACGTGTATATTTGGTGTTTGACCTTCGACCTGTCACCTCAAATGACCTAATCTATAACTCGATTTCCTTGTCCAGTCAGCCGTGTTAGATCAATATTATGTATCTAGGTATGACTAAGGCGCTATTTACAAGGTTTGGGACGACAAAGAAAACTCATGAATATATTCATGAGAGGGTGTAATTGTTAGTGAGGCCGCGGGATATTTAACCTCTATTAAGCTTTTAATGTTTATTAATTTAACATATGGAATTTTTTTTCATTTTTAATAGTTCAATTAAATTAAAACATATCCAGCTAAGTGTCAAAGTAGTATTTGAGATTCGAAACATATGTTTTTTTAATAATTTTTAAAGTGTAATAGTTGTAAAATGTGTATTGGTGAGCCCAATAATATGTAAATTAGCAATGTCTGATATTGTCGCCAACACATCTTGGTGTGATACGTGGGTCTCCAGAATGTCCCCGCCCCCTTGTAGCCATAACAAGGAACAGATTGTTTACATCCCGACTATTTACAAAATAAAATACGTATGGTGGTATATATATATACCTAGTCACGTGTTCATTTCACGTTGGCTTTTATATATTGGTAATTATTTCGATCTCTGTTCATTTTTAACGAAAGCTAAGCAAGGAAAAGCCGATTTCAGCATTTTCAACCTCTTTATAAAAGGTAAGGCTAGCAGTATTCAGTATCCGCCATTTAACTGTTTTTAATTATTTGTGTTGACGGAGAATAAGATCGAAAATCAACAGAATATCGATTTTGTAATTGAGAAAATTAGTGGTAGTGAGTCATAATTGATTTGATTAGCGTGAAATTGTTTATCAGATACATTGTTGAAAGAAAGAACGTTTAAGCAAAACGTGAAATTGTTCTGCCATTAATTTACAATTATCTCTTTAAAAATTGTAGTTTATTAACAAGGGAATTTTCGTTGAAGCTGATAACATGATTATCTCTGGTTTACAAGTGTTAATGTGAAAGACGATCTTGATAAAAACAGTTAAATTTATTTTATTTAATGGTATGATTCAGTTTAATTGTCCGTACCCTGGTGTGTTCGTGTCCTCGAGGTGACACAGTTGCTGGCACGGCGCCACCTTTGTCTGGTAGTCTCTGAGTCAACCAGAAGCCAATTATCGATTTAGTTCATTGCCAGCTCTAATCATGGTCTATATTTGGTTCTTGTGACCCTTTTTTGATCAAAACTGTGCAATTGTCTGTTGTTTAAGTTAAACAACCACCAAATGTGCCCGGTGCCGATATTTACCTTGTATCGTACCACATTTAAATCTGGCAAAAGTAGAACAGGTAATAGAAATGTACGCAGCACTCCATTTCGATGGAATAAATCATTATTAGCCATCATTTGACTGTATCCTTGGCGAGCCAACGGGGACATGTTCGAAATTAATATGTTTCCCTTTATAAGGATAAAATATTAATCTAATATCGCCACAATGAGCTATGTGATTCGTAATGCTACGTCATCTACGGAATAAAACTGGTCTGTTAGTATCTGGTGATAAGACAGGATTACTAATGTATACGTGACAGGTTAATTTGTGTATCAATAGATGTCCATTACTATTCTTGATTATAGTTGTTTTTTTTTGGTAATACAATGAAAATATCATATTGATTAATATTGCTGATAAAATGGGATCGTGTTGTATTAGACTCTATGATACTAATTTCTACGACTACCAGACTATATGACAAGGAATAAACTCTACATCCCAATACTAGACTCTAAAACAAGTAGTAGACTCAATGACAAAGACGATATTATATCACAATACTAGACTCTAAAACAAGTAGTAGACTCAACGACAAAGACGATATTATATCACAATACTAGAATCTAAAACAAGTAGTAGACTCAATGACAAAGACGATATTACATCACAATACTAGACTCTAAAACAAGAACTAATATCTATGATAAGGAATAGTTGTACGACGATGACTAGACTCTATGACAATGAGAAGACTCGATGAAAAGAACTAGAATTTAGGACAAGGACCAGATAATAGGACAATGACTATACTATAGGAGAAGAACTAGACTCTAGGACAAGTAGAAGACTCTATGACAGGAATTAAAAATATAAGACAAAAACTAGACTCAATGACAAGGACTAAACACTAGGACATAACGAGACTCTATGAAAAGGACTAGACTATAGGATAAGGTCTAGACTGTATGACAAGGCCTAGACGGTATGACAAGGACTAGACTATATGACAAGGACTAGACTATAGGACAAGGTCTAGACTGTATGACAAGGTCTAGACTGTATGACAAGGTCTAGACTGTATGACAAGGACTAGACTATAGAACAAGGACTAGACTATAGAACAAGGACTAGACTATAGAACAAGGACTAGACTATAGGACAAGGACTAGACTGTATGACAAGGTCTAGACTGTATGACAAGGTCTAGACTGTATGACAAGGACTAGACTATAGAACAAGGACTAGACTATAGAACAAGGACTAGACTATAGGACAAGGACTAGACTGTATGACAAGGTCTAGACTGTATGACAAGGTCTAGACTGTATGACAAGGACTAGACTATAGAACAAGGACTAGACTATAGAACAAGGACTAGACTATAGGACAAGGACTAGACTGTATGACAAGGTCTAGACTGTATGACAAGGTCTAGACTGTATGACAAGGACTAGACTATAGAACAAGGACTAGACTATAGAACAAGGACTAGACTATAGAACAAGGACTAGACTGTATGACAAGGTCTAGACTGTATGACAAGGTCTAGACTGTATGACAAGGACTAGACTGTATGACAAGGTCTAGACTGTATGACAAGGTCTAGACTGTATGACAAGGACTAGACTGTATGACAAGGACTAGACTGTATGACAAGGTCTAGACTGTATGACAAGGACTAGACTATATGACAAGGACTAGACTATAGAACAAGGACTAGACTATAGAACAAGGACTAGACTATAGGACAAGGACTAGACTGTATGACAAGGTCTAGACTGTATGACAAGGTCTAGACTGTATGACAAGGACTAGACTGTATGACAAGGACTAGACTGTATGACAAGGTCTAGACTGTATGACAAGGACTAGACTGTATGACAAGGACTAGACTGTATGACAAGGTCTAGACTGTATGACAAGGACTAGACTGTATGACAAGGACTAGACTGTATGACAAGGTCTAGACTGTATGACAAGGACTAGACTGTATGACAAGGACTAGACTATATGACAAGGACTAGACTATAGAACAAGGACTAGACTATAGAACAAGGACTAGACTATAGGACAAGGACTAGACTGTATGACAAGGTCTAGACTGTATGACAAGGTCTAGACTGTATGACAAGGACTAGACTGTATGACAAGGACTAGACTGTATGACAAGGTCTAGACTGTATGACAAGGACTAGACTGTATGACAAGGACTAGACTGTATGACAAGGTCTAGACTGTATGACAAGGACTAGACTGTATGACAAGGACTAGACTGTATGACAAGGTCTAGACTGTATGACAAGGACTAGACTGTATGACAAGGACTAGACTGTATGACAAGGTCTAGACTGTATGACAAGGACTAGACTGTATGACAAGGACTAGACTATAGAACAAGGACTAGACTATAGAACAAGGACTAGACTATAGGACAAGGACTAGACTGTATGACAAGGTCTAGACTGTATGACAAGGTCTAGACTGTATGACAAGGACTAGACTGTATGACAAGGACTAGACTGTATGACAAGGTCTAGACTGTATGACAAGGACTAGACTGTATGACAAGGACTAGACTGTATGACAAGGTCTAGACTGTATGACAAGGACTAGACTGTATGACAAGGACTAGACTGTATGACAAGGTCTAGACTGTATGACAAGGACTAGACTGTATGACAAGGACTAGACTGTATGACAAGGTCTAGACTGTATGACAAGGACTAGACTGTATGACAAGGACTAGACTATAGAACAAGGACTAGACTATAGAACAAGGACTAGACTATAGGACAAGGACTAGACTGTATGACAAGGTCTAGACTGTATGACAAGGTCTAGACTGTATGACAAGGACTAGACTGTATGACAAGGACTAGACTGTATGACAAGGTCTAGACTGTATGACAAGGACTAGACTGTATGACAAGGACTAGACTGTATGACAAGGTCTAGACTGTATGACAAGGACTAGACTGTATGACAAGGACTAGACTGTATGACAAGGTCTAGACTGTATGACAAGGACTAGACTGTATGACAAGGACTAGACTGTATGACAAGGTCTAGACTGTATGACAAGGACTAGACTGTATGACAAGGACTAGACTATAGAACAAGGACTAGACTATAGAACAAGGACTAGACTATAGGACAAGGACTAGACTGTATGACAAGGTCTAGACTGTATGACAAGGTCTAGACTGTATGACAAGGACTAGACTGTATGACAAGGACTAGACTGTATGACAAGGTCTAGACTGTATGACAAGGACTAGACTGTATGACAAGGACTAGACTGTATGACAAGGTCTAGACTGTATGACAAGGACTAGACTGTATGACAAGGACTAGACTGTATGACAAGGTCTAGACTGTATGACAAGGACTAGACTGTATGACAAGGACTAGACTATAGAACAAGGACTAGACTATAGAACAAGGACTAGACTATAGGACAAGGACTAGACTGTAGGACAAGGACTAGACTGTATGACAAGGTCTAGACTGTATGACAAGGTCTAGACTGTATGACAAGGACTAGACTGTATGACAAGGACTAGACTGTATGACAAGGTCTAGACTGTATGACAAGGACTAGACTGTATGACAAGGACTAGACTGTATGACAAGGTCTAGACTGTATGACAAGGACTAGACTGTATGACAAGGACTAGACTGTATGACAAGGTCTAGACTGTATGACAAGGACTAGACTGTATGACAAGGACTAGACTATAGAACAAGGACTAGACTATAGAACAAGGACTAGACTATAGGACAAGGACTAGACTGTATGACAAGGTCTAGACTGTATGACAAGGTCTAGACTGTATGACAAGGACTAGACTGTATGACAAGGACTAGACTGTATGACAAGGTCTAGACTGTATGACAAGGACTAGACTGTATGACAAGGACTAGACTGTATGACAAGGTCTAGACTGTATGACAAGGACTAGACTGTATGACAAGGACTAGACTGTATGACAAGGTCTAGACTGTATGACAAGGTCTAGACTGTATGACAAGGACTAGACTGTATGACAAGGACTAGACTGTATGACAAGGACTAGACTGTATGACAAGGACTAGACTGTATGACAAGGACTAGACTGTATGACAAGGACTAGACTGTATGACAAGGACTAGACTGTATGACAAGGACTAGACTGTATGACAAGGACTAGACTGTATGACAAGGACTAGACTGTATGACAAGGACTAGACTGTATGACAAGGACTAGACTGTATGACAAGGACTAGACTGTATGACAAGGACTAGACTGTATGACAAGGACTAGACTATAGGACAGGGATTTCATTTTATGACAAGAATTAGACTATGACAAGGACTAGACTATTGGACAAGGTTTGGACTGTATGGCAAGGTCTAGACTGTATGACAAGGTCTAGACTGTATGACAAGGACTAGACTATAGGAGAAGGTCTAGACTGTATGACAAGAATTAGACTATAGGACAAGGACTAGACTGTATGGCAAGGACTAGACTGTATGACAAGGTCTAGACTGTATGACAAGGACTAGACTATAGAACAAGGACTAGACTGTAGGACAAGGACTAGACTGTATGACAAGGTCTAGACTATAGGAGAAGGTCTGTACTGCATGACAAGGTCTAGACTGCATGACAAGGACTAGACGGTATGACAAGAATTAGACTATAGGACAAGGACTAGACTGTATGACAAGGACTAGACTGTATGACAAGGACTAGACTATAGAACAAGGACTAGACTATAGGACAAGGACTAGACTGTATGACAAGGATTAGACCCTAGTACTAGACTCTGTGACAAGGTACAGCATTGGTTACGGCGTAGATAACATAGTTGGAATGAGTCCAACATCAATATGCGGATTACGTCCTAAGCTTTATTGGGATAGGGTGTTCATAAAGCGGTTACTTTTATATTGCACTACATGAACCATTAATACATTGCGTCATAACCGGATACATATTCTGATTATTTTCTTGTATATCGGGTACTTGGTGAGAAGTGAAATAAACGGATTATTCTTCACTTTTTTATTTTGAAGACTCAAGATTAGTTCGCCCAAAAGAAACTGTGCATAGATTAAAGACATTAGTTACTGAAATAGATGATTTAAAAAAATAAAAAATAAATGAAAAGTGGGTTTTTTTTCATACAAAGAAACATGACTATAACCTCTCCATTGTTTATCGTTTAGGACCTAATGTGTCGCCAGTGTTTATTGTTTAGGACCTAATGTGTCGCCAGTGTTTATTGTTTAGGACCTAATGTGTCGCCAGTGTTTATCGTTTAGGACCTAATGTGTCGCCAGTGTTTATTGTTTAGGACCTAATGTGTCGCCAGTGTTTATTGTTTAGGAACAAATACGTCGCCAGTGTTTATTGTTTAGGACCCAATATGTCGCCAGTGTTTATTGTTTAGGACCTAATATGTCGCCAGTGTTTATTGTTTAGGACCTAATATGTCGCCAGTGTTTATTGTTTAGGACCTAATTTGTCACCAGTGTTTATTGTTTAGGACCAAATATGTCGCCAATGTTTATTGTTTAGGACCTAATATGTCGCCAGTGTTTATTGTTTAGGACCTAATATGTCCCCAGTGTTTATTGTTTAGGACCTAATATGTCTCCAGTGTTTATTGTTTAGGACCTAATACGTCCTCAATATTTCTTAGTTAATACCTATAACGCCCCGAATGGTTATTGACATTTGTTTATGACCTCAAACGTCCCCATTGTTTACTATTAAGGACTTGAGGCGTCCCCAATATTAGGAACTATTTCAGTAACAGTGTCTAACGCTGCATCTCTGCGACATTCTGTTGAAATTACCATGTTACTTACATCTACTTCCGTTCCTCACAGGCACCACTGCACCATCATGGCGACCGCTACAGACAGCGCCGACCCGACGGACATGACGAAGAGGAGTCTGATCGTGGATGAGGCTGCATTTGAAGAACAGTTCCTTCGATGTCACATATGTAACGAACGCTTTGACCAGAGTGAGCGATCCCCAAAGTCCCTTCCCTGTAACCATACATTCTGTCTGCCTTGTCTCAAACAGGTGTTCGACCACAACCAACAAAACCAACGCAGGTCAGTGGCATGGCTGGACGAAACGTTTGAGGGAGTGCTCAAATGTCCAGAATGCAGAGTGGAGATATTCTTAAGTCGTAGCGAAATCGAAGCCCTCCCCAGAGATCATCGCGTCATACAAATGATGGACTTTTTGTCGACTGTGCAAGCAAAATCTCAAAATGTCTGTTCAAAACATGATAATCAACCTTTGAACTTTTTCTGTAAGGAGTGTCTGATCCCAGTGTGTCGAGATTGTACTGTCCTAGACCACAAAGAACAACAGGGACACAACATCGTGGATGTATCAGAAGCCTTGAATGAAAGCTCGACAGATTTCAATGTAATCGAGGAGAAAAGTAAAGACTTCCTCGGTAAAATGAAAGGTCGGACAGATTCCCTGGCTAATGCCTCCAAACAACTAGACTTACAGGAACGCCAGCTGAAGTCTTCTATCAAAGACACGTTTATAGAATACCGACTGTTGTTAGAGAAGCGTCAGGAAGCGCTGATCAGGATTCTACGCGAATCAACCCAAGAGCAAAAACAGAAGATCAATACGCGGTTTGTGGACATTTGCACGCAGGGATCTGACCTTCAAAAAATGTACGACAAATTCAAGACAGCGCGCGCGAGTAACGATATCCGACAGTTGTTCACCATACAGCAGCAGATAAAGGAGCGGGAGACAGAATTCACGTGTACGGCGGAGGCAAACGACGACGAAATATTCATTGGGTGCAAATTCAATAACCCAAGTGAATTAGGATTTTTGTCAGAAATGAGTGGTTTGGGCGAAGTTGAGACAGAGCAAAATTTCGACTTAAAGAACCCTGTTCCTGCTCACCAGCTGGTGTTACTTGACAGCTGGGAACGTCCCGTATATTACGGGGGTGGGGAAGACGTACCGGAAGTGACCGAAAGCCAAGAAGGAGAGACGTCTGCATCTAGTGAAACCCCGTCTAGGGAAACTTCATCTAGGAGAACCTCATATAGAGTAGGCATATCGAGGGGAGGTCGGGAGCCTTCGCGAACATCCGATAGCTCGTCTACTCTCGCGCGACTAACGCGTCGTAACCTGCAGTCATCACTGTTGGACTCCACCGGCGTCGACGTCGAAGAATATGTCCAACCTTTGGACAGTAATGACGAGAGACAAGCGCGAGAAGCCCTCGCGTCAACCTACCTCATGAGGATAGCTAACCGTCTAAACGAGAGCGCTGAGGAGATGGCGGAGGCTTTGAGACAAGGAGAGGAACCCTCGACGTCCTCCATTGAGGACGATGATAGCAGTCCGACATCACGGCATTCTTCCAGCACCACGAGCCGAGGAGGGTCATCCTCTCGGACGTCAAGGTCACCCCAGAGTGGGGTAAGAGTTGTTAGACATCCCACACCCCCGACTACGCATGCGTCATCTAGAGATCACGGGTCACACGGATACACGTCCAGCAGATACAATAATAACTAACATTTACAGAACTGATAGGTTGGATACGCAAAAATAAGTTTGGCCGAAAAGTAAAATGTTGACGATAATCGGACCCAGGTACCTATCGTGACTGAGAGTATTGAGCATATTGTTGAATTTTCTGTCAGTCGCGATATGTACCTGGACGTTGTAGACGCTTGTTACGAACATGAATTCGGACTCATGACTGCGTCCACTATCCATTAGAAAACATTGACCGGTTGGATCTAGTAAGAAGTGTGAATGCCACCGCCTGTGGAGAGGAGGAAAGGCACACATTACGTCAATTGTGGACATGACTTTGTTTTTATAAATTATAAAACGACTCCTTAAAGTGGGAACTTGTATTTACAAACAATATGACGATACAATGAAACCAAACGTGACATAACGTTGATGTTACCAGTACTAGTTTTGATTGACAGAATGGCATACCCCTGTCGTCTGTGATCGTTGTTAAACTCAGTTGTTTTTAAGCATTATTAAATCGATTGAAATTTGTAGCAACTACTTTTTGGGGAATCTTTTCGGAGTGTTGGTCAGAAGCTAGATTTTTACTCTTTAGAGAATTTGTCGGTTCTCAGCTAGTTTTAGAGAGTGAGTTGAGTTTAAACCTTTACGCTAGGGTGTTTGCTGGTTCGCAGCTAGCGTTATCCTTTTTAGAGAGTGAGTTGATGTGAAGCTGGTTTTACACTTTTTAGGGTCGGGTGTGTGTTGGATCGGAGCTTGTTCTGGGTTTTTTTGAAGGGGGTTTGTTTGCTTGGAGATACTGTTCTGTATAGTTAAGTGTGTGTGTTGGTTGGGAGCTAGTGGATTTCCGCGTTTAATTTGATATGTGATTTATAATATCATTTACCCGTCACAAATTGACCCGAAGAGAATAAGTTGGTGGTCGATGTCCAATGTTTGACTGTGATAGACCACGGCTACATGTAGTCAGGGTATTATACTGTAGACAAGTGTACCATTGTTTTTTTTTAAATTTATTTTTGGTTAATTTACCAAATTTGGGTGCTAGGGGCACTGAAAAGTAGTCTTCAGTGATCCGAGCACCAGATTTTGTAAAATTCAACCGCTTGGCGTATGAAGCTAAAATTTGATATGATTTTTCTTAAATTAATCACACATATCGTGATATAATAAGGACACACCCTGACCACATATGCCGATGTGGTAAACGTGAACTCAGATCACTGACGATTACTCAGTGATGTGGGTATAATATATAGTAATAGTGTTTAATACCTGCTATACAGTTGATCAGAAAGACTTAATTCTGTAGCATTACATTTTACTACTTCTTACACAACACATCATAACGAAACTGAATAAATCTCAGTTTGGTTGATGTTAGGAAGGAACAGAAAAAGTTGATTTACGAAACGATTTCCTTTCCGCTTTGTTAAAGTAAAGATAAGCTGACATCTATTCCATTTTACTAATGACTGTCACCACACTGTCTTTTGACAACAATAATAATCAAGTGTTTAGTATAAGAACCTGTTAGAGCTGTCACAATATCTCTGACACCCGGGATATCACAATACACAGGCATATAAAGGCAACACAATACACAGGCATATAAAGGCAACACAATACACAGGCATATAAAGGCATTTCGTATCGTGCAGCAACACAAATCAAATATCGTTGTATTGCAATATTTTTCTAAACCTAATTTCATGTCTATACTAGTTGTTGGATTCAGTTGAACTTTCATAACCGATTATCTGTTTAACGAAAATCTGAAGTCAGCTCTATATGATGATGACAGTTTGACAGCATTACCATTTTGAATTGATCCCATTTTCCCTGTGATATTGCAATATGTCGTTATTCACCTCAGATTTACTGTGACATCCCTAGAACCTATTGTATTAGTATCCAGTGATTATTACCTTGCCACCTTTACTGAATCAGTATGATACCAGTGAGGACTAAAGTGCTAATTTTGATAATACTCCAAATGAGTTTCGTAAAAAAATGTGTTTTGATTTAAATCATTAAAACGCTTTAGACTTGTATATCATTGTCTGTTGTGATACATCGCACACGAACATTCTCAATATGGTGAGTCCACGTCAGAGTCCACAACGCTGTCTGACATTTCTCTCATCCTGTAATGCCAGGAAATCGTCAGAACGGCATCTATTAAGTTCCTAAAGCTAGCATGGTGTCTCACAGGGGACTGTGGATAGGAGGTATTTTTGTTATCCTCGGGTTATTAAAGCGAAGTGGCGTCTATGTTGTCTACAGGTTATGACATTCTGAGCGTAGTGCAAGTCAACTTGATGATGTTAAAATCCAACAGGTACCTAAACCCGATGTTACTAAAATCCAATGTGTACCTAAATCTAATATCACTAAAAAGTACCTAAATATGATGTTACTAAATTACAACGTGTACCTAAAATTGATGTCATCAAAACCTCCCAGATGCCTAAACTTGATGGTACTTCAACCGCATAGGTACCTAAACCCGATGTTGCTAAAATCCAACAGGTACCTAAACGTAATGTTACAAAAATTTCACATGTATCTAGTTGATGTTACTAAAACCTCACAGGTACCTAAACCTGATGTTACCTAAACCTTACATGTAACTAAACTTGATGTTAATAAAAAAAATCACATGTACCTAAAGTTGATGTTACTAAAACCTCACATGTACCTAAACTTGATGTTACTAAAACCTCACATGTACCAGAGACGTATATACTATACACATGGCTTTATATGTCTCTGTTTTTACATAAGACCAGACTCTCCGTCTCCCCTCGATTTATGGTTGCATAAACGCTAGTTACAGGGGAGTTAACTCTACTCAACTTATAACAGCGGCAAAGGTCTATAAAATAAGGGAAAATACTGTAAAATCTAAAATAAAATTTTAAATACAGTAAATTAAAAATGAAAATCAAGCTAATATATGTGGTCTCTAAAGGTCGGAAAGACATTTTATTATTATACGGTATACAATGTCAGATTCTTCTAGTTGTTATATTTCGGTGTTCAATATAGATCGTGTTTAAGATCTCGCTAACGTCTTGTGAACCGATGCTTCGTGTATTTAGGATGGTAATGTGACTATTTATAACGACGAAGTACATGTAGATTAAAAAACAACTATCGTCTCTAATAATGATTTCTACCAGTCTTATGTTACATATACCTGTATATATTGAAACAAAAATAAACGCACGCGATAAGCGAGTCCATACAGGTGCGTATATTACCTATACAACCCGGCTGACTGGTCAGTAGTATAGTGGATAGATAACGACCCGAAGAAAGTCCAGGAACGACTTTCGTCTTGTTACCGAAACGACCTGACACCCCTACGAATTGGTCAGATAACTGCAGCGACCACTGTCTCTACCTGGGTGTGTACTGGCCATGGCTAACACCCCACTCAATGGTATCTACTCCCGCAGGGTGGTCAAATAACTCTGGCCATTTTCCTGCCTGGGTAGTACATGTATATATCTACTGTCCCTAACTAGGTGTGTACTGGCTGGTTACCACTCTATTGAATGGTCAAATAACTCCGGCCAATGTCTCTACCTGGATAGTGTTTCTGCCTGTGTGTAAACTGGCTACCTCCCTACAGAGTGGTCAAATAACTCCGGCCATTGTCCTACCTAGGTAGTTTATCTGCTGTCCCAACCTGGGAGTGTACTGGCTACCTCCCCACAGAGTGGTCAAATAACTCAAGCCATTGTCCTACCTGGGTGTGTTTGTATATCTACTGTCCCAACCTGGGTGTGTACTGGCTACCTCCTCACTGAATGGTTAAAATCTCCGGCCATTGTCTCTAACAGGGATACATTGGGTGTGTACATACTACCCAGACTTCGTCTGCTGGATAACCGATACATCCGGTAGTGAAGCGGACGTAAAACCTATCAATCAATCAATCAATCTACCCAGGCAGGACAATGCAGATCACGCCCAGGTTGGTACTGTAGATACACCACCCGTGTAGAGACCATGGCCGGAGTTATCTCCCCGGTTTGTAAGATAACCAAGCTGGTCAGACTATAACTCTCATTGTTAATATGTGGGTATCGGGTGGATGAAAGAAGAATTTTGTCGCTTCATATTGTCAAGAGACGGGAACTAGATAGAATAGTTTATACTGATACCACTAAACAACAGGTGACCTTTAGGACACACCGGACATCACACAAGAATCTGTACAATCTCAAGAGACTGATCAATATAGAACGTGTATGTTTTTAGAAAGCTTGAAAAACCACTAATTTAAACTTCCCCATGCCATTAAAATCAATGCATACGTTGTTTTTGTATAACCAGTTTTCCGAGGATTACCTGATCACAGCCAGACCCACTCAGTATATAATAGCCACCGTTTTATGTGTTATTCATGTCGCATTTTTCACAGATATGTGTAAAACAAAACCCGTAATACGTATCTGGAATAAGTACGTGTCAACACGACAATATTACAGATATTGATCGGTTATAGAATTTATACCGAAATAAATCAAGTTTATGGCCAGCAAAAAATTGAAGGAATACATTTTCCATACTGCATGATTTTAGTTTTTGATCTAATTTCTCTGTTATACCTCGGGTAGTTACAGGTCTGTACCTCTAGTAGACCTATCACAGGGTAGTAATTCTGTACCTCTAGTAGACCTATCACAGGGTAGAAATTCTGTACCTCTAGTAGACCTATCACAGGGTAGGAATTCTGTACCTCTAGTAGACCTATCACAGGGTAGAAATTCTGTACCTCTAGTAGACCTATCACAGGGTAGTAATTCTGTACCTCTAGTAGGCCTATCACAGGGTAGAATCTACTATATCTTACACAGTAGTATTGTTCTTTAAGCAGGCCTATCACATACTAGTAATTCTGTACCTCTATAATAGACCTAACACAGACTAGTAATTCTGTACATTTATAATAGACCTTACACAGGCTAGTACTTCTGTACCTCTATAATAGACCTAACACAGACTAGTAATTCTGTACCTCTATAATAGACCTTACACAGGTTAGTAATTCTGTACCTCTATAATAGACCTAACACAGACTTGAATTCTGTACATCTATAGTAGACCTAACACAGACTAGTAATTCTGTACATTTATAATAGACCTGACACAGGCTAGTACTTCTGTACCTCTATAATAGACCTGACACAGACTTGAATTCTGTACATCTATAGTAGACCTAATAAAGACTAGTAATTCTGTACATCTATAATAGACCTTACACGGGTTAGTAATTCTGTACCTCTATAATAGACCTGACACAGACTTGAATTCTGTACATCTATAGTAGACCTAATAAAGACTAGTAATTCTGTACATCTATAGTAGACCTAATAAAGGCTAGTAATTCTGTACCTCTATAATAGACCTAACACAGACTAGTAACTCTGTACCTCTATAATAGACCTAACACATGTACAGGCTAGTAATTCTGTACATCTATAGTAGACCTAACACAGGCTAGTAATTCTGTACCTCTATAATAGACCTTACACAGGCTAGTAATTCTGTACATCTATAATAGACCGAACACAGACTAGTAATTCTGTACCTCTATAATAGACCTTACACAGGCTAATAATTCTGTACCTCTATATTAGACCTAACACAGACTTGTAATTTTGTACATCTATAGTAGGCCTAACACAGACTAGTAATTCTGTACCTCTATAATAGACCTAACACAGGATAGTAATTCTGTACCTCCAAACAGACATAACACCGACTAGTAATTCTGTACATCTATAGTATACCTAACACAGGCTAGTAATTCTGTACCTCTTTAATAGACCTGACACAGACTTGAATTCTGTACATCTATAGTAGACCTAACACAGACTAGTAATTCTGTACCTCTATAATAGACCTTACACAGGCTAGTAATTCTGTACCTCTATAATAGACCTTACACAGGCTAGTAATTCTGTACCTCTATAATAGACCTAACACAGGCTAGTAATTCTGTACCTCCAAACAGACATAACACAGACTTGAATGCTGTACATCTATAGTAGACCTAATAAAGACTAGTAATTCTGTACCTCTATAATAGACCTAACACAGGCTAGTAATTCTGTACCTCCAAACAGACATAACACAGACTAGTAATTCTGTACATCTATAGTATACCTAACACAGGCTAGTAATTCTGTACCTCTATATAATAGACCTGACACAGACTAGTAATTCTGTACATCTATAGTAGACCTTACACAGACTAGTAATTCTGTACCTCTATAATAGACCTGACACAGGCTAGTAATTCTGTACCTCTATAATCGACCTGACACAGACTTGAATTCTGTACATATATAGTAGACCTAATAAAGACTAGTAATTCTGTACATTTATAATAGACCTAACACAGGCTAGTAATTCTGTACCTCTATAATCGACCTGACACAGACTTGAATTCTGTACATCTATAGTAGACCTAACACAGGCTAGTAAGTCTGTACCTCTATAATAGACCTAACACAGCCTGGCTAGTAATTCTGTACCTCTATAATAGACCTGACACAGGCTAGTAATTCTGTACCTCTATAATAGCCCTGACACAGGCTAGTAATTCTGTACCTCTATAATAAATCTGACACAGACTTGAATTCTGTACATTTGTAGTAGACCTAATAAAGACTAGTAATTCTGTACATTTATAATAGACCTAACACAGGCTAGGAATTCTGTACCTCTATAATAGATCTGACACAGACTTGAATTCTGTACATTTATAGTAGACCTATAATAGACCTTACACGGGTTAGTAATTCTGTACCTCTATAATAGACCTGACACAGACTTGAATTCTGTACATCTATTGTAGACCTAACACAGGCTAGTAATTCTGTTCCTCTATAATAGACCTAACACAGGCTAGTAATTCTGTACCTCTATAATAGCCCTGACACAGGCTAGTAATTCTGTACCTCTATAATAGCCCTGACACAGGCTAGTAATTCTGTACCTCTATAATAAATCTGACACAGACTTGAATTCT